GAACAAGGAGAGTTCCCGCTGGACGGTCTATGGCGGTGCTGAGATGAACCCCCGGCCCGGCAGCGTGAGTGCTGAGCCCCCCCGGGGAGGGGACCCCTCCCAGGGGACACTGCTGTCCCTGTGGGGAGGGCTTGGGTCTGTCCCAGTTTGCCCCGGGTGCTCACACTGGGGGGAGGTGGTGGAGGGCGGGGGAGAGGGGCCCTTCACACCCAACTGGTGGGCAACCTGGTGGCACCTCCTTCCCCACCTCCCCGTGCCTCAGTTTCCCCCTACCAGTGCTTGGCTGCTCTCTCCCTGCAGTGCTACATGGGCCCCTCCTCTGACATAGCCCTCACCTTCATGAAGGAGCATTTCCTGATGGATGGGAAGGTGATGCCCACCCAGGGGCAGGTGCTGCTGGTGAAGACAGACGTCACCTACACACGCATCGTGGTGGACGAGACCCCCGGTGTCTCGGGTGTCACCTACCGCGTCATGTTCCTGGCCACGGGTGGGTGACCCTGGGGGTGCACCTGTGGCTCCCGGCTCACCCTGTAAACCCCTGAAAGCTCCAGCGATGTCCCCTGTGCCCCCACAGCGGAGGGTTTCCTGCACAAAGTGGTGGAGCTGCTCAAGAGTCCCCACATTGTGGAGAGCATCCAGCTCTTCGGGACACCAGAGCCAGTGAAGAACCTACTCCTGGCCCCAGGGAAGGTAGGGGATGGGGACAGCCCAGCAGCCACCCCAAAGCCTGACATGGAGTGGGCAGGGAAGGCTCAGCCCTGTGCTTCTCCCTCCCCAGGGCATCCTCTACGTGGGCTATTCTGGTGGTGTCCTCCAAGTCCCATTGGCCAACTGCAGCCTGCACAGGAGCTGTGCTGAGTGTGTGCTGGCCCGGGACCCCTACTGTGCCTGGCACAGCAGGGAGGGCTCCTGCCAGCCCATCCGGGCCACCACTGACCAGGACATGTGAGCTGGGGAGGTGGTGGGGTGAGGGTGGGCAAGGGGATGTGAAGGAGACCAAGGTTGGCAACCGTGTCCTGGGCTGTCACCAGCAGTGTGAGCAGCAGGGCCAGGTTGGGGATTGTCCCCTCTGCTCTGCTCTGCTGAGACCCCCTGCAGGGCTGGGAACAGCTCTGGGGTCCCCAACACAGGGAGGACATGGAGCTGTTGGAGAGAGTCCAGAGGAGGCCCCAGAGATGCTGGGAGGGCTGGAGCAGCTCTGGAGCCAGGCTGGGAGAGTTGGGGTGTTGAGCCTGGAAAGGAGAAGGCTCCAGCGAGACCTTAGAGCAGCTTCCAGTGCCTGAAGGGGCTCCAGGAAAGCTGGGGAGGGACTT